AAAAGCATTCAGCTGAGAGAAATTAGCTATGGCTACTTCCACAGTGAGAAATACAGAATGCAAATGTTCTCTCACAGGAAGGAATTTGAAAAGAATCTCAAACCAAGACTGCTTTTTAACCTTCTTTCCATAGGGTAAGGAAGACTGAAGATAAGTTTTTTTAAGGTTTGTGAAAAAAAACGGTCCTAGCTTGGTTATAAAAGCCAGATTACATAGAAGAAAGTACAGATGTCAGAATCACAGAAGAAAAAAAAAAAGATTTGCAGGGAAAAGTGTGAAGAAAAACATAAATCTTCAGCTTGAATAACTTATTTGGTTTGTTGTTACTCAACATATCTGTAGACAACTGAAATTCGGACACTGTTGTGATATGTTGATAGGTGCTGGATCACACACAATATATGAATTTTCTTACATATTTCTATTTTCAGCACTTCTTTCATGGAAGGAAAACATTTATTCAAGGGCTACAAGTACTAATATTAGTTTTCCTTTTAGTAACAAGACAAATACTATTAACCAGCATTAAACAAAAAGAAAAAAAATACTTTTATTCAAACTGTATCTTAAAATTAAAAGGGAAAAGCAGTTAAAATATAAATCAAACACTTTTTTCTTTTTTTCCTCCAGAAAATACACCCACTCAAGACAACATATTAGTATCATTTGTCTACAATAAGGAAAGGCTTTATGAACATAAATACTATCCTACATAATACCCAGATCAGATTTAGAATTTTATTTCCTTGGGGTGGTTTTTTTCAGTTTGTCTTTTTAATTGTTATTTTTCCAGAACCGCATACAAATCACTATTTTTTATATTTCTTTTAAAGCTGTTGCTTGATCTTGAGCCATAAAGAATTAATACCTTTGAAAAGTTAACTGCAACAAAGGAAACCAACTCTACTTACTTTATATATTTCTGTAAAAGGGTTTAACTCTAATTCAATTAACAGCATGGTAATAAAGAAGTTGATTATTTTAATACACAGGCATTTAAAAAATATGTAGAACTGTTTTGCATTATCACTAGCCAGCTTTTTGTTAGGGGGAAAAAAAAATGAAAAAAAGATAGAAAACTCTTCTTTTTCTTCTGTTTCACAGCTGTCAGTGTCCAGGCAGATGGCAAGGACAAAATGTAATTTAGTCAGAATTCATTAAGTACAATTAGGCAATTTGATAGCGATATAAAAGATTAAGATGGACATCTGAGCTAGGAGGTGTCAAAGACGGCACCTGTTTGCTTCGTTCAAAAATAATGAAGAAAGAAAACCATCTTTGTTAACAGCTGCTCTGCTGGCAAAGTAAGTTACCTGTAGGAACAGACCTTTGTGATCCAACACTGTGCTATGGTTGCACTTGGACAGTCATGTAGAGAAAAATCTATTGCTCTGCCTGCTAAAAATTAGCTAACATTAATGTGATCATGTGATTCAGATTTCAAACAAGGTATAATGTTTAAAAAAAAAAAAAAAAAAAGGCCCAAGACCTCCTAACCTTCCAGTGTTACCATCCTTGTTTACTTTCTATTATAGGAAAAAATAGAATTGGAAACACTTGCTTTGTTGATTTTTTGAAAGGATAGCTATCATTAGACTGGTTGTCACAACACGTAATACTTACATAAATTCTGTCCTTACTGTAACGAACTTTGATATTGTGAAGGAGAGTAGCTTCATTTAAATACATAAGGGAACCTGAAAGTAAAAGACAATCATATACCATTAAAAGCTCAGGATTATTTTCATATACAGACGAAAAAACAAATCGGAGCATTAAGGAGAATTTTACTTTCCCTTTCTTTGGTTACAGTTTAATTCTATCAATCATTTCTTTATACTGTCTTGATGCAGAACTGCTGACTCAATTAAAGCTTTAAAAATCTTAGAGCTGTGCTTTACTGTACAACTGGAGCAACAGAAAGTTGCTGAACAAAAAGTCGGACTCCAGGAGTCTCAACACAGGCCCTGCTCAACCTAAGCTGCCTTTTACTGGCCTTTCAGACAAACACGGTGCATCTCCCTCCACAAACAGCCTGTAATCACAGAAACCAGTGCATACCAAAACCCTTAACACCAACTGTTTGTTTCCTTCCTTCCAGCTCCCCTTTCCAATCTCAGCCACAGTGTCCCCAGGGAAATGACATCTAACTGACATTTAGAATACCTACTGGCTTGTGGTGATTTTTACATGTTTACATTCACTGATTCAGTTGGGAATACTGTCCAGAAGTGGCATCAGGCATCACTGCAACACCAGGCCCCAACACAACTTTGTGTTTCAATTCTGAATAAGTAACTGTTGGGGAGAGAAACATTAACACAACTAAACCTAGCTTTATTTTTGTGCTTAGGTTGTTAACACAAAATAACCAAACCAACTCTGCTGCAATGTTACAAGGCAGTGGCCGAAGGCAGTCAGGGGGCACCCACAGAATGCTTCAGGCTGTACAGATTCATATTCTAGCAAAGCTGGTCATTGTTTTCAGCTATAAAGCACTGGAAAGTGTTAGTAGCCTTAATTACAGATGTGATTCCCAGTTGCCATTGGAACAATATTAAAAACATTATCCCTAAACCAACTGAGGGCACTACTCATTACACAGCCTCCATTTTCATATGCTCAATCCTCTTTTTCTCACTGCTTAAAATTCAAGTGCATAACACTGTTTTGTCTAGTTACAACTGACTGACTACCATAAAGGTAAATCTTACAGTATCAGCACCACTTAAAAAGTTATATACATCTGACTACTGTTGACAGAGTAAGCACTGTGCCTGTCACAGTAACAACTACCCCACACCTCACGAGGGACACATATGCATCCCCCATCTGTGAACCAATGAAGTTGTTTCCCAGGTTGGTCTGATGCCCTTTTGTGTGAGCTCCAGCAGAGAAAAATGTATTCCAACTTATTTACATACATGTGCAAGAGGGCTGCCAGTTTTTATGACTTGAAGTCAACCTGCCCAGCCACCTCACGTTGCAAGGACACCTGAAGCTTAGTAAGCATCTCTTAACATCTCCTTCAGTGTTTCTCCTACCGAACCAAAAGATATTGGCAAAGGACAGTGAGAGCTTCTCAAGAGCATTTGTGTTTTCATTTTCAGCCTGACATCCTTGCTTCTGCAGTGGATGAAGGAGTGGCTCTGCCTCCTACCACCGACACCAGCCTGGCCTCAAGCAAAGGCATGCTCAGCAGCCATTTGTAGGCCTCCCTCTGGCTTGCATAATTCCACTGAATAACAGCCCTTCCTTCCCTTCCACGACTAAATATATCTTTGCTTCAAGTGGCTGGAGCCATTCAAGCTTCCCAAAGGACCTTGCAACCTCTGGGTTGTTTAGAAGAAACAATCTTCCTCCACAAAATCCCCTGCACGTACAGCCCTGTGTTGGCAGAGGCACCCTAGGCAGCTTCAGCTTTCTGCCAAGCAGAAACCTCCCTTTGGATCACAGCAGCCTCGCAATCAGGCCTGTGTGACACCTCCGTGAAGCAGCAGGGCTGCCCCCATCTCCACAGCCATCCCCTGCCACCCCAGCAGGCCTCCTGCACCACCCCCTCACCGCACGGTCACTGGCACCTGCCGCGACCGAGCTCAGGTGCCCGGCACCGCGCAGCAAGTCGTCTCCTCCTGCCCTGCCCAGCCATAAGGGACCTGCCCACGTGCTTCCTCCACGGGGCTGAGAAAATGGCACTGGGACCACAAATTGCAGCTCTGCCTCCAGAGCCCTCTTTCTGCCTTCCCCCTTTTTAATGAGGTCATCCCAAGAGAAACAGACATGACAAGGGAAAGA